CTCACACCTGCCCCGCCCCTGAACCAGTTCACCCATTGGCGCCTATGGTGCCGCCATCTTGTTTTTGGCTTCTGTGCATGCGCAGAGCAATTTTAGTTGTACTGCACATGCGTGCATCAAGGGCGCACGCACGCAAAGCACCTCTGAGCAAAGCGATAGTAGTCTCTCTCAGAACCCACCCCTGGGAGGGAGGGGTGGGCGTGGCCAGCCAGGGGTAGCATTTGTTTTGGGGGGAGGTTCGCCAAACTGAGCAGAATCGTAGCTAGAGGATCGCCCGAACCTGTGCAAACCCCCAGCAGCTCATCCCTTGTCAAGGACACAGCCAAAATTTAGCTTTACGGGGATTTCCACAGATGGGAGTCAGGTCAGGCACACACACACACACCCTCTCCCCGCAAATGAATTGAATAAACCAACGGCTTATTCGGGGCTGTCAAAATAAAAGCATTGCCCCAGGCCTGGTGGGAAAGGAGGGAGGGGGTCTTCAGGCTGAGCGAGACCCCTCCCCCCAAGCCCTTCCCCACCTTCCCCGAGCATTGCTAGGCAGACGTGAGATTTCAAATTTCCAGCTGAGCATCTGAACGACTTCACAGCTTCAATTATCACGGCGACCCCGGGAGGGAGAACATGCCATTTTTGCGGATTCTAAACCGCTCTCTGGGTCAAGAGTCACAGAGCCATTAAAAGCCGCTTTTGGAACACGGCCACTATGGAATAAGTGACCTCGTGCACGACAGGCCGCTAGTGAACCGCAAACAAGGCCGCTCGCATTCCCGCCCGCCGCCCTTAATGGACGCCCGCTAACCAGCTGGCCCTCGGCCTCAGCTGCTTAAAATGCCACCAAACTCTCCCCCCCCCATCTCGTTAAGGCGAACAAGATGGCTCCAGCTAATTATTCCATAAAAATTTAATAAACCCTGCATGGGTGGGCTGCGGAGGGCGGCGAGGGAAAAGGCAGAACAGATTGGGAGTAGGGGAGCGTGATTTCCCCTGGATCTCCCCCCTCCCGAAGAGTGCCGGGAAAAGGGTCTTCCCTCCACCCTGAGCTCCCCTTTTAAAAGCCTCGTTGAAGCCTTCCCCTCCCCCCACCAAAGAGGGGCATCAACTTACTGGGGCATCCAGCTGACCCCACTCCAAGCGCCAAAGTCACGTTGTCTGGGCAGCAGCCGTAAACGGTTTTGCTACAGTGAAGGAGTTCTGGCAAGGAAGACGGAAGCGTGGGGACTCCTGGAAGGAAAATTAAAAATCCCGTTTTTAATGGCAAGCAGCTACGAGCCCTTCGCGGTGCTGTTGTTCAGTTGCTAAAATCGTTCCGTGACCCCCATGGTTGTTCACATTAATGTCGGGGTTCCAAATAGCATCCAAAAGTAAATCCGAATCCGAGGAAAAGCATTGCTCAAAGTTCCAATTGATTAAGAGAGCCATGTTGGCACATCTGGGAAAACCCGAATCTGAAGGCTTCCCGGTTTCCCGCACCCAGTTGAAAGTTCAAGATCTTGCCCCCTCACACCCACAAGTCCATCCCACGGTCCAACCTTCCACTGCCGTCCTGGCAGCTTCCACCCATCCACTTCTAGTCAGGTGCAGAAGTACCGAGACAAAGGATGACCTTGGCTTTCTAGAAAGAATGTTGTTATGGCTACATCGCATCTAACTCCATGCAATCTCCCCTCCCATTTTCCTACAATAGAAAATGCATAGCGGAAGAATAAAAAATGTGGCAGGCCAAAGAGCCAAAAGAAAAGATGGCTGCAGGCCTGACACATGGATCATGCCAGCCCCCCTCCTCCTGTCTTCTACCCCCTCCCTGAGGCTACCCAATCTCATGTCTATTGCCTCAACGACACCATCGGACCATCCCATCCTCTGCCATTCCCTTCTACTTTCGCCATCCATCT